CTGCTCTTGGCCAAAGCGGCTGTACGGGCGAAAACCGTCGGCTCTCCCCGCTTCCACGAAAAACTCACTTCAATGAGTGTCCATGGTTCAGGCCAAGTGCTACTCTCCCTGCGGAGGAATGCAGCTCTGCCCAGTCCACTACCATCAACCACTGGACTCATTTGAAACCCTTACTGCTCGCGCTGAACAGTTTGGTGACTAATGCATGGAATAATTGCCAACGCTTGGGGCTGGCCAACTCCGCTAATATCCTTGTCCAAATATCCTATACACTGTATTGTTAGCTCTGGTGGTATTAATCCACAAAACTAAAAGTAACTATTGACTGTTGTTGACACTTTGCGTACACCGAATGCACGCCGGTGTTATAAAGTCAGTTGTGAGCGCCATTTGCCGAGAGAGAGAGATCTCACTTAAAAAATATTCAATTTTAAATATTCAGCCGTTTCGTTTCGACAAAGAAACCCCGAGGTTGTTGGAGCAATGCCCACAATGGGAAAGCCCGAAGCAGTGGAAGGGGGATAAACGAGGGCGATGGTGGTCAACGGACGAATCGAATCTCAACGTTTATTCACGACACCACCATCCATCGTCGTCATCGTCGTCAATCAACGACGACGTTCTCAAACGGAGATGAACACGAATACCAACACACATACTGACTCCGACTTTTCAAGTTCCCCCCCACCCACCCCAAACCCCGGTTCACTAACTTGCGGAATATGCAGACTGTGCAATCATGGCATCAGCGAAACGGAATGTGACAGGGAGGGTGGGGGGAGGAATGGGAGAACATTTCAACAAATGAGTGAGCGGGGTACGACAATTTCTTTTTTAACGGCCGCTAATTAAATGTTGTGAGTTCCAGGATCAAAACCCGAGAGTAATTTCTCGACACAGGAACTCCAAAATAGCCAACGCTCGGCAGGTCACATCAGAGTCACAGTGTACAATAAATGCTCTCAGTATAGCCGGGCCAGCACAGCTGGTCATATACACGTGACCCGATAATTAGATAATCAGCACCGCTAACGATAACTATCATGATAATGGGGGGGGGGGCACAATTATCATAGTGTCGCGGTGACGTAAACGACCAATTGAAAGGATGTCAACCAGTTTTGAGCCAATTTGGCGAACTTTGAACAAATTAAGTGCAACGGCAAAAAAGGAGGAAAAATATTCGGCTCTGCCCACCAAACGCTTCAAACCCCATGGAGGTTCTCCTCCATTGGAGGCGACAGCACTGCGAGAGGCACCAAGGCCGTAGCCATGGAGTCAACATTGGGGGGGGTCCAAATCATTCCAGGGGGTCTGGGGTTCCCCCCCCCAGAAAAACAATAAAAATTTGAAAACTAATTTCCTGCCTAGAATATAAAAAAATCACTAACACATATGATGGACTTTGATTTGTTTTTTTTACAATTATGTCTAATAGTGTATTGTATTACATTTCTGTTTTTTCTTTTTTACCTTTTCTTGTTTCATTGTATGTAATGGCAGAGATTCGGGATGAACAAAGTACAACCATAACCACAATCATATAAACAGAAATATATTTTATAGCAATATATTGGGGGGGGGGGGGGGGATGTGATGCACAGACCCCCTCCATCCACACAGATAAACGGCACAAAGCCCTTGTGGATAGTTCGATAAAATACCTCCATTGATTTCTCCCCCCCCCACCACCACCCCGTGAACTTGTACAGCTTTAAATAACAAAGGGAATGTGTCGCTTCATGCACTAGAAGTGTGCGTTGTTGCAAATACTGTAATGAATCCTGCTGCACAAAAAGTAGCCATAGATACCTGACCGAAACAGCTCTCCCTGAGGCCAAGGTGCACATTGGAGCCAGATGTTTCAATGATGAGCAGCTAGTCTGGGCCTAAAGACCCCACCCCTGGGGCCAGAGTGTAAAGGGCACCTAAAGTCACGCACACCACCTCTACATCCTCCTAATATCCATCATCTCAAACTCCAGATCATCCAAAATGCCACCGACAGACTTCTTGCGTTTATCTGCAACTGAGGCCAAGGCCACGTGTTCCCAAAACTCTGGCTCACAATCCAGGGCTGGATCAAACTACAGGATCACACTCGCTGTGTTTATGAAGATACCCACTATTGGCTCTTTATCCCCTGCCTGACTCTTCCCTCTCTTATCTATCTCTACACCCCTCGAGCCGTGATCTCATGCGAGAGGTTGCTCCTTCTCCTCTGCTGCACCCGTTGTCTGAAAATCCCTCCCACGAGACACTGCTCGCTGTCAAACCCACTTCCCCTGTTAAAGTCCTTCCTCATTTCCTCTGCCTATGTCTTTATTTTGAAACATAAAAATATATAATTACACACTCTGTGAATCCAAAATTATAGTTCTGGTGACTTTTTTTCAAAGAGCATCATCGCATTATACGCTTGCATTAGCTATGTAAAAAAAAATTTAAGAACACAAGTTCAGTGAAAATTATCTTGCGATGATGTTCATTGCAAGAAAGCTATTAGCGTGATTGGCTACGTACGTTCAACGTACATACTTGAATCATGATCTGAATCATGAGCACCAATTCAGAAATTGGAACAAATGATGAAGAGGGAACAACAACGCGTGGAGATGCCCATGGTCGAAATCAGACTTAAGAGAGGCAGGAAGCAGAGTGCGTGGAACAGCAGACAAATGTTACATTATAAAGATTATAACATGACGACTGTTAAGAAAAGTCGTCGGCCTTGACCAAGACACATTCGCCAGAAGCGATAATGGGACAATGGATAACTCGTGACAGAGTGACAACCAATGGAGTGGGTCGCCGCGGTGGTGGAGATGTTAACTACCTCGCCTGAAATGCAGGAGGTCGTGGGTCCGATCCCAACCTTGATGCCTGTATATTTAGACGTTGCGTGTCTCTCTCCACGTGGTCGTGTGGATTTTCCTCCGGGTCCTCCGGTTTCTCCCTCCACATTAAAAATCAACGTGTAATTAGAGTATATGGCTGCTATACATTTCTACGCAATAAGCCACTTCGTTGAGCTATCATGTGTGGGCAGGTCGCTTTTGAAAAAGAGCTACGTAGCTAATGGGGCTTATCTGGTAAAATACAAAGTTTAGTTTAGGGAAGCGCCCCCAGAGAACAACCACCTTGGAAATGGAACAATTGAATCAGTCCACGTGCACGAGATGGAATAGATTGTGGGATATGGTGTGTAAATACCTGTCAACCCCTTATCAGTGCCTACCTTATTACAGACCAATTCAGACCTTACTGGTCACCCCGTGCCCTTATAAATCTCAACGTTCATCCTACAAACTCCCATCACAAGAGAGAAACACAAACAAATAGACACAAAACTATTTTTTGCCCGTATTGAAACGTCTGTACGCTGTACGGACCTGCAAACTCGATTTCCCTGCACAAGAAAATGAGTAAGCCGTATGGTTTGAAAGGTATGCGTGTATCAGTGGGATGACGCGACTGTGAGAGAAGGATTTACTGCATGGGGAGGGTCCTTTATCCAGCAGACCTGTGACCCCACAAGCATGCTTGTGCACACACACTGATGTGGCCCAATCTCCCCCACACGATCACTCACATATAGCGGCAAAGGTCCCCCGTGTAGCCTTTAATAGACTGTTGGGGCAAGTGTTGTTAGCAAAGCACCTATGATAGCCGGCACGGCGCACGAGGGGGTGGGTGGCCAGCACCACGCCCGGCCGCCTTCGTCTCCCTAGTAGCGATGTTTACACATCGCACCAGTTACTCATTTGAGGCCGAGTCGACCTAGGGGAGGTCCAGGACCGGTTCAGATAATCGTCACCGGTGTTGGCCATGAGCGGGAATGGAACTAACCGCTACACTACCGCTCCCCACATACACAGGCGCACACACACACAATCACTCAATCACAGACAGACACGTACACACACCGATCCAAGTTCCCATTCACAACGACAACACAACAGCCGCCATTCGCCAGCCACTAAGTGGCGGTGACGTCACCGCGGCGCTTGTGCCAGGCTAGGTGCACTTCGAGGCCACTTAAAGTGTCCGGTAGACACGACGGCAGGAGGTCATGGGACAGACCCAGGTGTTTATGGGATGACTGAGATGACTGGCAGAGGATGCGGCACCTGTGCCAACACAGTGCCCATACACATGAACACGCTCTAAAACAGACACACACGCAACAAAGACAAAGGCCCCCCTCCTCCCGTGTAGCCTGTAACAGACTGTTGGGGCAAGTGCTGTTAGCGAGCACCTACGAAGGCCGACACGGCACACGAGGGGGTGGGTGGCCAACACCACGCCCGACCGCCTTCGTCTCCCCAGTGACGATGTTTACTACACACCGCGCCAGGTACTCATTTGAGGCAGAGTCGACCTAGGGGAGGCCCAGGATCGGTTCCGATAATCGTCACCGGGTGTTGTCGGGCTGCGAGCGGGAATCGCGACTCGGGTCGCAGGGTTCGTAGTTCGGCGCGCTAACCGCTGCTCCACCGCTCCTCCTCCCCCCCACCAACACCACCCCCCCACCAACACCACCCCCCCACCAACACCCCCCCCCCCCCCACTAACACCACCCCTCACCAACACTCTCCCACCACCACCCCCAACAACTCTCTCACCACCACCCCCAACAACACTCCCACCACCACCACTCCCCCCACCACCACCACCTCCCCCCCCCCACCATCACCACCACTCCCCCCACCACTCTCCCCCCCACCACCACTCTCCCCACCACCACCACTCTCCCCACCACCACCACTCCCCCCACCATCACCACTACCCCCACCACTCCCACCACCACTCCCCCCACCACTACCACTCACCCCCCCCCCCCAACACCACTTCCCCCACCACCAACACCACCACTCCCCACCACCAACACCACCACTCCCCACCACCCCCCACCACCACCACCACCCCCCACCACCACCACCACCACCCCCCACCACCACCCCCCACCACGACTCCCCCTTCGTCCGCCACCAACTGACCTGCCGTGCCCGCCGTCGCCGTAGATGCGGAGTCCCGCGAGCACGGCCGCGACGTCCCCGGGCCCCGCGGGGGGGTACCCACCGTGCCCCACCGGGTACCCACCGGGCCCCGAGGGGTACCCACCGGGCCCCGCGGCCTCGAACTCTCGGGGCACCCCGGAGGGGGGCCCCCCCCCGTGCAGAGCGACCCCCCGGGACCCCCCCAGCCTCACGTCCTGGGCCCCGGGGCCCGACCGCCTCAGCCGCAGTGGCCCCTCGGCCGCCGTGGAGGCGAAGTCCTTCTCGCAAGAGCCCATGGCGAAGGGTTCAGCCTGGGTAACCTCCTCCTCCTCGTCCTCCTCGTCCTCCTCCTTCTTCTTCACCGGTGCTGGGATGGAGGTGGAAGGAGGAGCACGATGATGGAGGGTGATGCGGTGATGATGGACGTGGGGTGCTGGGATGGAGGATGATGATGGAGGTGGTGATGGGAGAGGGGACCCGCTTGCCCTCCGTCACCACTCCCCGTCGGTCAGGGATGAAGGCGGTGGAGGCGAGGGGGTGACGACGGAGAGAGATGAAGAAGATTGAGGAGGTGATGGTGGGTGAACGTGGGAGCGAGGCGATGGAGGTTGCCGACCGAGACGATGGTCGAAGAGGCGATGGAGGGAGGGGGGGGTGGAGCAGCCACTCGTGACCGCCGTTCCCACCCGCGGACGAGATGATGATGATGACGACGACGATGGCGTTAGTGACGAGGTGACGGTAAAATCATCCGGGAGTCACTCGCGCCCGCCCGGCTCCGTGCGCGGCGGTGGAGCCATGAAGCGAGCAGCGGTGACGACTCTGATGCTGCCGCTGTCTGCCGCTGTCTGCGTTGAACGTCCACGATCCTTTCTTTTCACCGCTTGCTCGCCTGCAAGAGCGAGAGAGACAGAGCTAGCTATGATGGCAGAGTTTGTAGGGAGGCGTTGGGGAAGAGAGCCGCTGCTGCTGCTGCTGCCGCCCGCTGCTTCGATGTGCGCGGAACCGCTCCCCCCGCCCCCCGTGCGCCGACACCGCCGCCACCGACGCGCGGAGGGATATCTCCGGCATTCCGCGTAACGCGGCGCGCGCAACGCACCACGACAACGGGCGCGCTTCCTCCGATGGGTGGTTGGGGGTGTGTGTGCGCGCGCGCCAAGTAGTGCGTGGCGTGGCGAGGCTTCGCGCGCTCGCGGACGGGTCACGTGGCCGGGGTTGGCGTTGGGTGGATGCGTGGAGGGGTGGTGGGAGATGAATCGGGAGAGTTGGGAGGGGGGGGTGATGATTCTGGGTCGTTGGGAGGGAGGGGTGATGATTCTGGGTCGTTGGGAGGGGTGGGGGGGGTGATGATTCTGGATTGTTGGGAGGGGGGGGGGGGTGATTCTGGGTCGTTGGGAGGGGTGGTGATGATTCTGGGTCTTTGGGAGGGGGGGGGGTGATTTATCGGGAGAGTTGGGAGGGAGATGATTATGGGTCGTTGGAAGGGGGGGGTAGGATGGGGATGGAGAGAGATTACGGAGAGTATGATGATGGTGGGGAGAGTTTGATGCGGAATGGAGTGGGAAGATGTAGAGAGATACGATTAAGTGGGGTGATAGAGGGAGGGGGGTTATGTAAACTATAACCCTGCATTGATGCGATACAATAAAAACTATAAACAATTTTTTTTTAACCCTGCCAGGTAAGGTTCACTGAGCTTTGCAGAAGCGACCTGGCCAAGAATTATAGCACAACAAAGTGGCTTATCATCATCACGTGGAAATGTAAAGCAGCCCAATGCTCTCGGCACGTGATGTTGGTTCTCAATGTGGAGGAACAAACCAGAGGGCCCGGAGAAAAATCTACGCGACCACGGAGAGAGACAGGAGAGAGAGACGTGCAAACTCCAAATATACAGCAGGCGTTCAGGGTCGGGATCGAAACCACGACATCCTGCATACCAGGCGAGGGATGTAATTCGATGATATGGGATGACAGGGGGTGATGGGAGCAACGAAGACGGATGGCGGAGGATGTTAACTGCTAGAAGAGGGAGTGATACGTCACCAGGTGTGATGATGGAACATGCAGGCGTCCGGGGTCACGGGAGAGCATCCAGTGTCCTTTAGCAGGATCCCTGAGTTGATCCCAGAGAGAGGGGAATGTCCACCGTACGGCGGACTTTGACTTGAGTGGAACCTCGTCACCACATCGTGTGGCTTGACTGGCCCAAGCTCACCCCTCGCCACACACTCCACACCAAGTGCCCTTGTAAGCTTCAACTTATCGCTTATCTGTCAAATTCCTGTCCGCAAATCCTCGTATCTGCGAAGGGCCAGTGCTCTTCCTATTGCGTGACGCCAGATGCATCTGTTTTTCGTTGTTCGAAGGCCCTATTCCCGTCTATCTCGAGTGAGATGAAGTAGGTATTGCTCGGCCACTCTGCACTGTGCTAGCACGGTGCCTGTGTAGAACCGAGTGCTTGTTTGCGGTTATTCCGCCCTGCACGCATTTTGTGTATGTATGTTGAACTTTTTTCGCACCGTACGGAGCCAACCGTGCTAATAGCGGGGTGTCGGGGAAGGCAAACAAACGAAACACAAAAAACTGTTCTAAAGAAATGAGGGTTCAATCTCGACTTAAAAGTGCGTAGCTCCAATGGCTTTCTAATATCGGACGGCCGCAGGAGCGCATCTGAAAGCGCGCGATGCGGTCTGACCGTCTTTGTTCGATGGCCAGCAGCCAAAAGCCGCTGCTGTGAGGATGGTCGGAGTTCGTGTGATGATGGTGTATGCGCCCCTTGACGAGATCAGGGAGGTATCGTGGTTCATTTGGGCATTATGCCCAACAGGGATTTAAAATCATGTGTAATGGGGTGGGAAAGTGGTGGCCCAGATAAAACACGCATCATGCTAAACTTGTAATTTAAATGCTATATTCGCAAGTATTCACTGTTTAGCTCAGTAGAATGGGGGGGAGGGGGGGGGGTGCATGTCTAGGACGCGTCATCTGTTTGTATTGCTTCTTAACGTAATCGGTTTACTTTCTGAAATGTTTGTGGTCACGTGGGAGCTCAGTCGCTGAACCTCAACGAGTGGGGAGCAGCTAATACTAATTATACCGGCGCGTATGAAGATATTTTGGTTTATTTTTTTTAAATGAAGCACGTATGGTTAATCCACAACCCGGATAACCCGCCCACGGATAATTGAGTCGTCTGTATCGCTGACATAAGGATGTTTGTTTGTCCCTTTAGTCAAATTTGCAAACGGGGCCGTCCACAATTCGAAATGGAATTGAAGGGACGTGAGCCAATGCTGAACGTTTATAATCAGCGCCAAAGGACGACACTTCCAGACCCAGTACCCTCATCCAATTACCTCTTCTTTTTTTTTTATCCTTTATATAAAGTTCACTTGCTTGCTTGCTTGCGTGCTTGCGTGCTTGCTTACGACCGTGCAAATCTTTCGGTCGTTTTTTAACCCACTTCCCGTGATCCAATCGAGCTGACATTTTGCACACAGACTCATTGTGCGTGACAATATTTTTTCGTGAAAATTTTTGTTCCAAAATTTTCCACTTTATAGGAATTTTTTTTTTCATATTTAATTTAAAATACCAATGTGATAAAAATGAAACTCTTACTCAAGAAAAACAGAAATGAATAATAAAATAAAACCGATGCCACGCATATAAAGGATTTATAGTGAAACACTTTGTTTTCACGGGTTAATTTTTTTACCCAACAACCAATGAGCTGGCATTCTTATAGTGATGTATTTTCAACCCCGTGATTAAATTACAGAGTTGTAGCCAGGTGGCTCGGACGTCATAGCGATGAGCTGGCACCACTAAGATCCTGGATTCGAACCCATGTTTCCAGCTGTTAAACGATTAAACCGAGGTTACAAGTGTAGCTAAGTTTATGGTCTCCGACCCGGTTACCAATGACTGCACATACACACACACATTGAATTACGGTACTCCATTTAATTTGGCTTTATTCCAGCTCTGATTTTAAAAAAGATATATCGGTGTGACTGTCACAAAGACTTAGATTACTCTCATTCGCAGAGTACGTGGAGAGGTGTGTTTCCCCTCTACATTGCGGTACAAAGGTCACTTGAAAGGAATCTCAGATGTAGCTCTGTGACAACTGCTTCCGTGTGGAGCCGTTGGCTAGCGCTGACAGTCGCGCTGCTCTGCGAGAGTCTACAGTGAGTTATTCGGCTCGTGACATTGAGGGGGTGTGTGGGGGGCGGTGGGGGGAAGAGGGGCATGACAAAAAAAACCAATTGTAGCGATTCAAGATCGCAAAACCAATTCGAGAAACGATTCTCAATTTGTTTAACCTTGTCATGAAGGTCGTGACCCAAGTGCTATACGCAGAGGTCACGTGAACCCATAACATACAACACATACGTATACCAAAAAAAAACATTGATCCTCAATCGATATTGTTGGTATCGTTAGATCTCTGCTGAAAAAGTGACCATCAATTGCATCGCTCACAGCTGATGTAAACCAACTTAAACCGCTTTTTGTTAAGTCCCTCTGTGTGACAGACAGTTTTACAAACATCCTCAACGAACCACGAGTCAAGGGGGTGGGGGTAGTGTTGAGATTTATAGGAATGCGACTCCAGAAACTAAGAAAAACAAACACCTGCGGCTTTTTTTTGTAGGTGCATATTTGGGCGGTGTGTCACACGCGACAACGGGGTCTTGTCCGGCGAGGGCTGGGTGCAGTCTCATTGCTAGGAAACGAGATTGTGAAAACCCACAGCAGCAGCAGCAGCATAATCTTTGTGGGACTTTTACGGCAAGACCCACAGCGCCCTCTACACAGAAATGTCACCAGCAGCATCATCATCACGATAGCCCAGAGTCGGGGTCTCTATTATCCAATAGGCACAGTAGGTATCGTGCCTAGGGCCTGTAAAAACTAAAGGGCCTACGAAAACAAATGACCACGTTTTTGTTGTTGTTTTTTTTTACACATTTTTTTTACCAAGACATCTTCTTGAATAAATATATATGTATATAGCAAGGATAGGCACAGTGTGTAAATAAAGAGGCAGAGTCATCTTCTTGTTTTTCACAAGGTAACAAAAATTAATACCGGAGATGACATTTTCGAGAAAAAATTTTCATTGCAAAATAAACAATAACATCTTCAAATTGCGTATTTTTTCGCACAATCTCATCCTCAACAGAGAGTAGTGCAAGGGAAGACAAAGGCGGCGTTATCCTACGCGTGAAAGAAAATAGTTAAAGCGGAGGTATTCGTAACCATGGAGCAGCAGTACCAACTTATAAAAGTGATCACGAAAGGCCTATTAAAGAGAAGTGCCTGGGGCCTACAAGAACCTAAATCCAGCCCTGCCCGTTTGTCGTCATTTGTTTCCACTCTCCTCTGTCTTGTGCCAATATGCTCAAGCAAGGCCGTAGCCATGGAGTCAACATTGGGGGGGACCAAATCTTCCAGGGGGTCTGGGGGTCCCCCCCCCGAAAAAAAAATCTAAATTTGAAAACTCATTTCCTGCCTAAAATATATTTTTTTATTCACTAACACATAGGATGGACTTTTGATTTATTTTTTACAATAATGTCTAGTAGTGTATTGTATTACATTTCAGTTTTTTCTTTTTTACCTTTTCTTTTTTCATTGTATGTAATGGCAGAGATTCGGGATTAATAAAGTACAACCATAACTACAATCATATGAACAGAAATATATTTTACTGCAATATATTGGGGGGGACATTTTGAGCATACACTGTATTTGAATATTGGGGGGGGGGGGGGGATGTGTCCCCCCAATATATATTCTAATTACGGCCTTGTGCTCAAGTCGTGGCTACATCTGTCGAGCACCGATCTCTTACGTCGTCGTCAAGCCATTCTCTGTTAGGTCTTCCTTTCTTCGCTCAGCAGCAGCAGTTAAAATCAATGTCATCTACGAAAGAAGAATACGGAGAATGTAACGAGCCTCTCAGAACGCAGAGTACCCGAACTACCCCGCCACGTCGCTTGCCAGAGCAGTGGTTCTCAAACGGGGGTACGCGGACCCCCTGGGGGTGCGCGGACCCCCTGGGGGTACAGCAACAGCCGCTGT